TAGTAAACATCCAGATCTAGGATTTGTCTCGACCAATCAGTGCGCTTACTCCAGCTCACGTGATATACGATTGCATGCTAGGAAGAACGAGTCAGAAGAAGTAAAAAAAAAAAAAACTAATATTAAATATTTTTCACACAACACATTCAATTAAAATAACCTAACATGTGATATAACTAGAACTGGCAAAACTTGAATTATGTATCGATCTTGGAGAGCCTGAACGATTCTTCAACACGGCTAACGTAATTTTCAAAAAGGGAACGTGGTTGAATCACAAAAAAATGAGTAATAATAAAATTAAATAAAAAATACTGTCTTGGGATGATTGATAAAGCTACAAGTATTCCTTTAGTTAATACTTCAGAAGAGTGAAATTAAAATGTCCTTTTTTTTCTTTTATAAAAAAAACTTCGAATATTCAAGCGTAAACAATGCACATTTTTTTTTTTCTGATTAGAACTTATTGCAACAACAACAAAAAGAAATGCTTATAAAAATTGAATGTAGATAGTACATTATTCTGGACTCGAAGAAACTTGTAAATGATTGAGAATCCCTGTTTTGGCAACTCAAGGAGATGAGGGGAGATAAAAAACAGCCTTAGTTGGATGTGGGGAGAGACTGACAATATTACTGGCCAAATCATTAGAAAAACGCATGAGTGTGTAAAAGCTGTTGAATGGAAGACATCAGAAAACACTTTAAAAAAGCTTCCATGTTACAGCAGTTGGCTATTGTGCTAAGCCTAAACCTGTCAAAGTTATAGCTAAAGAATAAAAGACAAAAAAAAATCGTGCACGTTCTATTTTTTTCTACGAAAGATCTATTACAAACATTAAAAGAAGCCACAATCTCGGAGAGTTGAAACTAGAAGTTTGTCGTCTGTTTTGTTTGAGCACAGAGCCCATTGCAGGGATCTAACCACAAAATTTAGCGTTAGAAGCCCTCAAACTTACCACTGAGACACCAGAGGATACTAGGAGATTAACCCATAATTGAGGATTATTAGCACCGAGAACTGAAGTGACAGCAATTGAGGATTATTAGCACCGAGAACTGAAGTGACAGCAAAAGGCATAAGAAAAAAACAAAATAAGCCAATTGCTATATCACATCCGAACAGGTTTGTCGACAGCTGCTATTTTTGGCGGCAAAACGGTCACCTTGGAGCTAAATACGTACATCTGTTTCTTAGCCATTGTTGTATGAAAAAGCCTTCCATTCAATATCATAAATTAGGCTGGAGGAGTCACTTCGCCCTTAAATCTGAATTTGAGACTGTCAGAGCGGAGAAGTGATTTCTCTGAACCACGAAAGGGAAGGTTTACAGTCGACTTTCCATTAACACTTTAGCAGTTTCATTTCGTTCGTAATAACTGCAAACATTTACTGCAATAACTGCGCGTGTAAAATAAGATTTGAAACAAGTCGATATAACCGATGACCCTCAAGCTCTGTCAGATTCCTAATTGGCTTATGCAGGTGTTAGAAGATTATACGCTCGTGAGTTAAGAACGACGCTGGTGTTTGGTCCGCGAGTAAAAGAAGACATACATGTATACAGGATTAGTGACCGATTACCAATATATTATCGTGCTTATTGGTGCTTAAAAGAGTTTTGGAAGTTACAACACGAAACTTGCGTTAGATAGCATACAGGAGTCCATGAAGAAAAAAAATATCCTTGCTCAGCTTAAGAAGAAATGTTTCATGAGAATTCAAATTGGTTAGAAATCTTGTAAAAGGCAAGAAATATGACATGAAAAGAAATAAAAGAATGATAATCGGAAGTTACTTCCAGATTCCATTTAACATGAAAACAGTGTTCACCGGAAGTTACTTCCAGATCCCATTTAACAAGAAAAACACTGTTCACCGGAAGTTACTTCCAGATCCCATTTAACATAAAAAACGGTGTTCACCGGAAGTTACTTCCAGTTCCGATTTTAAGTTAAAAGTTGTTTATCAGAAGTTATTTCTAGATTTAATGTTAGGTAAAAAACAATATTAACCAGAAATTATTTTTAGATCCGATGTTACAAAAAACTAGAGGGCACTCAGTAGAGCGCATACCTCCCCCACGCAGCGTTGATCATATTGGGTTTTCAAGAAATACAAAAATGTATCTGTTATGTCCGTTGTTATCGACGGACACGGACCAGTTTTGGCAGGACAATGAGGAATAATATTCTACATATGTCCACCAAGTTTCATCAAAATCCGATCATTTTTGACTGAGTTACAGAGCAAAAATAGTGTGAACAATTGGTCCACATGTTAATAGATAGGGTTTTTTTTTATATATTCGTGACCTTGCTGTGACCTTGACCCTCCAAAAACTAACCACTGATAATTTTCTTAGTGATGCTGCCTATTCTTGTATTACAATAATTAGTCTTGCAAGAAATGATACTTTTAAGGAAATTATTATCATTGGGGAGGGGGTTATAATATTGCGGGTAGCCACCCATTGAGGACATGAATGGGGGGGGGGGGAGCCTGGGGAGGAGGGGGGGGAGTGTCTTCCGTAGATTTTTTTTGCTTATTCTGTATATTTTACATTTTTGCATGGATAAACAACTTTTGGATAAATCAATGCTCATTAGGTCGTGACCTCCGGTCAGTATAAGAAACATTCGTCCCGTTGTAAATTTCTTTTTAGGATTGAACAGGAAATCCAGTTAAAATGATGTGCTACCTACCAGGGTGGGGGAAATTTGAATGATGTTGTAGTAAACTACAAAAATAATAATTTTGAAATATATAATAATATATCACAAATTAGCACTCTATCGTTATTATTATTCTTTAACTTATTTTTTTTAAACCGCGCTTTTAAACAGAGAACCAATCAGAGGCAAGTTTACTTTTGGGAAAGGGGGGGGGAGAACGTAAGTACCGAAAAATGTTTAAGGTGGGGCGTGAGTAAAGAAAGGTTGAGAACCTCTGTACAAGATCAACCTCATCAACGTAAGTATTACAATATGCGTCACGAACCGCGAGATGTTAAGATTACCTACAATAAATAATTAAAGTCAATATAAATCATAGAATAATGAGCCGATACCTACCTCTGGAAGGTCCTGTATACTTACTACTCCGATGTTTGTAGACCTTTAGTAGACCTACGGTTTAGGTATTGCTATTTAGTAATGTGCGACATTGAAAGCTTTGTTTTTTTGTTGTTTTGTTTTTTCCAGCATCATGTGACTCGTGTCTACTTCGACACATTTTGGGGGAATGCTCTTTCTACATAACCGGTTTTTCACAGTTCTCCTACCGGTATTGACTTGAGTTAAAAGTCTGTGTCGTGACGTCACGTACGTTTCTAACAACTTTCGTATCATCCCGTACGCTTTCCTATTCTAGCTCGATCTCACTTTTAAGTTATGAGTTTAATCATTGAAATATGTCTACCAAACAGTGTTAAAAAAGACAAACCCAAAGGAGTTTAATCATGGCAATATGTCTACCAAACAGTGTTAAAAAAGACAAACCCAAAGTAGTTTAATCATGGCAATATGTCTACAAAACAGTGTTAAAAAAGACAAACCCAAAGAGTTTAATCATGGCAATATGTCTACCAAACCCAAAGGAGTTTAATCATGGCAATATGTCTACCAAACCCAAAGAAGTTTAATCATGGCAATATGTCTACAAAACAGTGTTAAAAAAGACAAACCCAAAGAAGTTTAATCATGGCAATATGTCTACCAAACCCAAAGGAGTTTAATCATGGCAATATGTCTACCAAACCCAAAGAAGTTTAATCATGGCAATATGTCTACAAAACAGTGTTAAAAAGACAAACCCAAAGGAGTTTAATCATGACAATATGTCTACCAAACAGTGTTAAAAAGACAAACCCAATAGAGTTTAATCATGGCAATATGTCTACCAAACAGTGTTAAAAAGACAAACCCAAAGGTTCCTCTATAAACCTATTATGCCCAGACCGTTCAAACTCACGGGGGTTGGCTACTCTACGATATTCACTACTGCACGTGCATTGGCGTAACTACAAAATATACCCCCCCCCCTTGCATAAAAATTGGGCTACCTACATTTATTTCCCTATAATTAGTTACGATTTTGGGCTGATTCGAGCCCTCTTTTGGCTCGGGGAGGGCTGATTCGAGCCCTCTTTTGGCTCGAGGAGCATATTTACGTTACTGTATACATGTCCCACCCTAATCAGTAACGTAAGAATGGTGGCATTACTCAATGACCTGACCTTTATACAACCTGTAAGCAATACCTACACACACACACACACACACACATGGTTTGAAGTTGATCACTATGATTTAGTCGATAAGTGTACGAGTTGACCCAGTTTTGTAAAAGTTATCAAAATGATAATGGTTATTTTAACGAAATTACAACTTTAACTGTATTAATACAATCACAATATTCGTGCCTCACGAATACTAGAGTATGCTAGGCCTAAAAGCTGTTAGTACAGTAAAAATAAAGGAATTCCTTCCAACTGTACGGTGACAGTAACTGAAATACGTCTGCAAGGTGTTACTATGTGACAAGTTTCTGCTGTATCTCAAGTATAAACCAAGTAATTAAAAGTGGGTGTTATTCAGAACAATGAATTATTAATTGTTCACGTTTTACTTAGTAATCATTTCAAGGTACCTGTTTTTTGTTTGTTGTTGTTGTATTATATATACATGTTGTTAATATAGGACAATATATCAATTCTCAAGCTGTACTTTTCATTTCGGCCATGTTCTGGGTATATATATATATATATATATTACGTCAATGTCAACATAAGTCACCTTAACTCAATAAATAATTATGTAACTACACTTCAGTTGGAAGTTTTTGCATCAAACATAACACACAAATAATTTACAACAAGAAACTAATATTTCTCAATAGTAAGTAATGGCTCTCCGGTCCCTTATAGTTTCGCTTTCCATTGATAAAAGATTGGAGTCTCTGTTCTGGGTAAAAACTTTGTTAATGTCAACGGCACTCACCTACATTCTCCATGCTCTGAGATAACAATGCTTCGAAGGTGTGTAAACTGTAGCTTTCGGCATCTAGCCCTCGAGCCAAGGCATTTCTCAAGTGTGTCTCGTACTCCATCAGAAGTTTGCTGGTAGGGGAGGTCGTCGTTTGCGCCACTGCTGTCTGGCCACCTTCGTCAGAGCTCAGGTAGGGAGCGTCGCTGTTCTCGTTGCTCGAGCTAGGTGTTGTGGCATAGCACAGGTTATCGTAGAGAAAGTTGTCGGAGGGTGGTGACTGGTCCCCATCTGTTAGGTCCAAGCACATAGTTCGTTCAAGGCTACGTCGCCTTCCAGTCTCCGATCGATTATGTCTGTCTCGAGTGGCTTCTTTGGCGCCCTGACTAGTCAGCCAACGAGGAACTGAAACACTCCTTACTCTCGACTCCTCGCCTTCAATCTTTCTGGACTCTCGGGTGCTTGATTTGGTTGGTTTTTGAGTGTCTTGATCAGGGGAGCTGTGAGTTGAAGACATAGAAGGAAGAGGGTGTAGCATACGTTTGAGGGTATTACTGTCAAGGTTAAGAGCTGATAAATCCCCGCTCTGTGACTGTTCGAACACATCATCGGAACTTTTCGAGCGAGACGAGGGCTGGATGTCTTCGGGCTGTTTTGAGCTTTGCTGTTCTGATGATATCGTACTGTAGTCTACACTCTTTGCTTGTTCCTTGCGGGCAGACTGGGCATACTGCCCACGCGCCTGTTCTGGGCGAATGTCGCCTTGTTGAGCAGATTTGTGACTAGCTTCATTTTTGACTATCTTTGACTGACCATGGACACTGGCAGTCGTAGTGCCTCGCCTTAAAGATGATGAACCCACGTTGTCATACACAGAGGTGCTTGAGGGATGAGCCGAGAGGCGCCCTCTGTCGTACGTGGACTTGTATTCCCCCTCAGCCCGTGAATGAGGCCGCGGTAAGGTGGCAGCACCCCCTGTGTAGCGCACACGTCCATTTCGGGCACGATGCAAATTTTCGGCTGTCATACACGTGCACTGGAGTTCCCGCCCCCTTGAAGGAGAGCTGGGGGTGGACTGCGGTTTCTTTTTCCCTTTCGTCTTTTGCTGGTTCTAAAAAAAAGTAAAAACAAAATGTAATAAAGCTGCTTCTGATTGTTAGTTCTTTAATACTGACGTGATTTTACACACTGCTATAGAACTTGTAAATAGTTAGTTCTTTAATACTGACGTGATTTTACACACTGCTATAGAACTTGTAAATAGTTAGTTCTTTAATACTGACGTGATTTTACACACTGCCATAGAACTTGTAAATAGTTAGTTCTTTAATACTGACGTGATTTTACACACTGCTATAGAACTTGTAAATAGTTAGTTCTTTAATACTGACGTGATTTTACACACTGCCATAGAACTTGTAAATAGTACAAATTGAAAGAAAATGATTTTTACTTACTGTAATTAATCAACTGAAAATTAATGCAACCATACAGCTAGTTTTATTAGGTTCCGTAAAACCTAATTACTTGATAAAAGGAAAATAAAAATGTGAAGCCACCAATCACAACACACGGGACAAAAGTGAAGACACCGATCAAACCAAACGGGACAATGTGAAGACACCGATCAAACCAAACGGGACAATGTGAAGACACCAATAAAACCAAACGGGACAAAGTGAAGACATCGATCAAACCAAACGGGACAAAGTGAAAACACCAATCAAACCAAACGGGACAAAATGAAGACACCAATCAAACCAAACGGGACAAAGTGTAGAAATCGATCAAACCAAACGGGACAATGTGAAGACACCGATCAAACCAAACGGGACAAAACTGAAGACACCAATCAAACCAAACGGGACAAACTGAAAATACCAATCAAACCAAACGGGACAAACTGAAAATACCAATCAAACCAAACAGGACAAATTGAAGACACCAACCAAGCCATATGAGATGAAGTGAAGACACCAATCAAACTAACCAGGAGAAAGAGAAGTCATTAACAGTGAAATATAAACGTAAAAACACCAATCAAATCAAACTGGCCGAAGTAAAGACAACAATCTCACACAATCTGAAATACAGACTCTGGAAGTGACAGGATAAAAGTATTAAAACAATCACAACAAACGATTTGGTATGAAATTAACGCAAAACTACACCCGGGCTATCAGCGCTAGCTTTAAAATAATCAACTTTAAGCAATCGCTTTACATCTGTACCATGATAAATTTCAATCTGTCCCTAGTTTACTTGTTTTACCAAACATAAATTTTTATATTTAGATATCCGGTACATCACAAAAATGGGAGACATTTTCCTTAACACCATTTCAGGTACACCAATATCTTGTCTAATTTTGTTGTTGTTTTATATCAACGTCTTCAATTAAGTCCAACACTCACTAAGACAGTTAAAGTATAGAGTCTACTGGCTTCTACTAAATACTAGTTTGTACAGTTGAACGATACACAATTAGCTAAACGCAAAAGATCCATGAAGTTCAGACATAGCCGTCCCTAATTTAGCAGTGAAAGACTAGTCGTCACTATCCTCCGCCAACTCTTGGGCTACTCTTTTACCAACGAATAGTGGGATTGACCGTCACATTATACCCTAATTTTAAAGTGGGGCTCACAGAAGCAGCAACTCTTACCAAACGGGGGGGGATCGACTGACAGTAGTGAGAAGACCATTTGGTAGTAGCACGTCTCGAACCCAGTCCGACAAGCTAACCACCAGGCTCGTGGTGCGCAAAATGTGGGGCGCTTCCCCAAGAGGGCGCGGAAAGTCGTTAAGGGGTGTGCGCAATTATGACTATACCTGAAAGCACAAATTTAAAAGTAACTTATAAACTACCGTACAAATATTACTACTTTTAAGTGATATACTAACAACAGTTAACATAGGAAAACATCGCGTACTACATATACACAAATAGGTTATACAAGCTGCTAAGTAGCTTTATAACACAAAAAACAACAATTCAACAAGCTGCTAAGTCACTTTATAACACAAAAAACAACAATTCAACAAGCTGCTAAGTCACTTTATAACACAAAAACAACAATTAAACAAGCTGCTAAGTCACTTTATAACACACACAAGAAAAAGTTCAAAAGCTACACTAGGTGAACCAGCTGCTAACTTACTGCACAATACAAAACCAGTTGAACCATTTGTTACTTAACCGTACAATACAAAACCAGTTGAACCATTTATTACTTAACCGTACAACACTGAACCATTTGTTACTAAACCGTACAACACTGAACCATTTGTTACTTAACCGTACAACACTGAATCATTTGTTACTTAACCGTACTACACTAAACCATTTGTTACTTAACCGTACTACACTAAACCATTTGTTACTTAACCGTACTACACTGAACCATTTGTTACTAAACCGTACAACACTGAACCATTTGTTACTTAACCGTACAACACTGAATCATTTGTTACTTAACCGTACAGTACAAAACCAGTTGAACCATTTGTTACTTAACCGTACAACACTGAACCATTTGTTACTTAACCGTACAACACTGAACCATTTGTTACTTAACTGTATAACACTGAACCATTTGTTACTTAACCGTACAACACTGAACCATTTGTTACTTAACCGTACAATACAAAACCAGTTGAACCATTTGTTACTTAGCCGTACAATACAAAACCAGTTGAACCATTTGTTACTTAGCCATACAATACAAAACCAGTTGAACCATTTGTTACTTAACCGTACAACACAAAAACAGTTGAACCATTTGTTACTTAACCGTACAACACAAAAACAGTACCATCCCCGCTGGTGATAAGAGTTCCGCTTCTCAGACTTAAAAAAAACAAACAAAATTAGCCCACTCTTTACTAGCTATAACTTTTGTGAATCATTAAGCCTAAAAACTTATGTTGGCTCATACTTCAACAATCTTTCGTGCGCGTTCCGTATAGTTACACCTACATATACAGTATATATTTGTATGAAATAAAACATTATTTACATTGTTATAATGATCAATAACAAAGAAATTAGAAGCGAATACAATTTACGTCAGTGTCTACATATTTGTAACAATAACGTTAATGTTGTGCTCAGGGGTGGCGCGATATCCCCCACACCAACCTGAGAAAAGTTGGCGCCGAATCTGCTTTGTGATATATTTGTTAATGTTGTGCTCAGGGGTGGCGCTATAGCTATAGGGGGGCTATATCCCCCACACCAACCTGAGAAAAGTTGGCGCCGAATCTGCTTTGTGATATATTTGTTAATGTTGTGCTCAGGGGTGGCGCTATAGGTATAGGGGGGCTATATCCCCCACACCAACCTGAGAAAAGTTGGCGCCGAGCCTGCTTGTGATTTTTTTTTACAAATTAATTCGTTCAATTCTAAATACCGACGATATACAAAACGATCGCGATAAAAATATTATTCACAAAAGATTTTCGTTATAGGGTACCGATATTTTCAACGACCCTCCCAGCTACACCAGCTTGTATTTAATTAGTTGAATCACACATTGAAGTACAAATACTTGAATTTTAAGCAAGGGTTTAACACGAATCAGAATTGTCCATATGAATACCACCGATGTCTCGTGACAATTTAAACTTGGTGTGGCCAATTGAATGATAGAAGGGGCTCTACGTTTCTTTGTCCTCGAAATGTACACAATTTGGTGACAGGAGAAAACAATTAAATATAATCTTTGACTGTCGCCATGGTAACAACTGATTGATATCCCGTAATTAAGATTAGGCTTAAAGATACTTGTCACCATGGTTATACAAGGAATTGAAAATCGACCACATTACACACGAATAGTTAGCCAATAATGCATCAACTTTTACAGGATACGCCGGTATATATAAAAAGAAAAAAAAGGAGGAGGAGGAGGAGGACATATCACTATGGCAACGATAAAATGTAACCATAGTAACCGTACGCGACTAGGGTAATAACGATCGTGTTTGTTAGATGTAAACACTTACGTAAAAATTGATAGGTTTTCATTTCGACGGTAATGAGAAAGATATCCTAAAGAGAGAGAGAAAAAAAATCAAGAGCGAAAAATGTTTCCATCAGGTTACACACATATCCAACATGATTGATGTGTCGTTTACTAACAATACTTTTAAACCGAGAAAATAACATCCACCTAGCTACACATGCACGAGTAGAATATGTGCTTAGCAACAAGAATGATAAAAATAAAAACTTAAGAATAAGGCGATTCCGGTTATTTAAAAAAAAAAAAAACAATCTGAGAACGCTTGAATTCGGAAAATATTTTCATTCATTCGTTTAGAACAAAACATAACAATTTTATTCTCCCCAACCCCTCCCAGAAAAAAATGACAACAGAAAAGAGGAAACAAACAAACGAATCCTTCCAAAAGGCGATACCGCTCGTCTGGAAACATTTCTAGAAAGTGTTTTATAATTCCATTTTGTAAACTGGCTCCTATTTACTGGATGGGCAGGCCTTCCCTTCAAAAGTCAGGCTTACTCGTCTAGAAACATTTCTAGAGAGTGTTTTATAATTCCATTTTGTAAACCGGCCCTATTTACTGGATGGGCAGGCCTTCCCTTCAAAAGTCAAGCCTACTCGTCTGGAAACATTTCTAGAGAGTGTTTTATAATTCCATTTTGTAAACTGGCCCTATTTACTGGATGGGCAGGCCTTCCCTTCAAAAGTCAAGCCTACTCGTCTGGAAACATTTCTAGAGAGTGTTTTA